AGCTTAACCTTACTCAGTTTTGCTAATAATAATTATTTTCCATGTCCTTTATATATTTAGGCAGAGAAAAAAAGCAATGCACAAGAAAGTTAATTTTAGTGCATATGTAAGAGTAAAATTCCAAAGTAATAATCCTTGACAATGCTATCTTTGCCTATGTACTAGGTAAACATGTTGCCTTTTAATATGTAAGTTCAAATAGAGTTCAGTACACTGGGAATAGAGCTGCATGATCCACCACTGCAGAACTCAGTCATTATTCAGGATTGGAAGGGGTAAGGAAATCTAGGCTGAAGACAACAGGTTCTCAGTGTACAAAATCCTGTTTTCCCAAACTAAAATGGAGATGGTTATGGAATTCAGACAACTGAAAATTTACTTTACAATTTCAGTTGAGCTGAGTAATTTTCTATAAATTTTAATTTCTACTATGATTGCTTATGCAAAAGGTGAAAAATTGTCCTGTTTAACTGTTTTGAAAAAGTATGTGGCTGCATGCCATATAAAAATATTGTACTAATGTCACACACTGGTGCCTTCCTTCTTGAAGCTAATGAATGATTCCATAATAAAAAAAGACAAGGGAATTGTAGGTGAGGGAAGTAAAATTATTATGGAACACTGGATTATCAGCAGTGCTCTAGGTGACAAGAAAATGGAAAGGCAGGTAAAAGACTTGATACTTCTCATATCTGCATCCAAAAAAATCCTCAGAAAAATAACCAGAAGTGGACCAGGATAACAAAAATGCTCTCAAAGACAAGCTGTGGATACCTAAGCATGGCAACGGCATTCACAATGCCCGCACACAGTAGTTATACAAGCGTTGTCTTTTATGAGTATCTGCCTTTCTTCGTTATATGCAATTTACAATTACAATATAATTGTATGATATAGGGAGTATAAGTACTTGTTCAACTTGCTGAAAAAAGCACATATCTATTGTATGCCAGAACCAACACAGTCACAGAACAATCAATACAAGAAGGAAATTAAATTGAACTTTACCTGTTCTCTAGTGAACCAGCGGGCATCCTCTATTTCATTCTTGTCAACTTTAATTTCTGTAGACACAGCAACAGCTAAGCAACCAATCATTAGGGAGGAGGGCATTGGCCATGGCTGACAAGAGACATACTGAACATGGCCAACCTTGACTCCACTCTCCTCTTCTACTTCTCTTCGAACCGCATCTTCTATTGTTTCACCTAATCAAGCAGGGCAAAGAACAAGCAGCTGATGAAAATGCTCCAAGCAAGGATTACACTCTATACATTCAACTGACTCAAAAGATTTGAAACTGCTTTGAACAATTATCTACAAGGGTCTAGTTCACAGACTGGGGCACAGATCTGAAGAATGAGACACAGAAGTGTTATAAAAGGCAGATACCAAAGCAACATTTTCAAAATGGAAAAAAAATGCACGGTGCCACCATCATCCTGTAAATTTCTAAGATGTGAATTTACTGTAAGTATGCAGGCTGGCAGTACTCCTTGAAATTAGGACACATGTAGGAAATATAAGGCGCTTTAACTCAAATTATTTTTTGAAGCAATCATTTTATTATTATGGCAAAAAGGAATTTTGTCAACTTTAAGTTAAGGTTTGTCCTATAAATATAATGGCATAGATCACTACAGTTAAAAATAAACCAAGTGTTTAAAATACGAAAACTGAGCGTAAAATGAAAGTAGATTATTTAAATATATTCACACCTTAAGCATTCTAATAGATTCTTCGTCTCCCTCAAGGAATGTCCTTTGCACCAACCAATGTATAAAGAAGTTCTTCTAATTTCATTATTAACAGAAAGCTTTAACTCTTCCTAAGAAATATCATCATACATACCACAAGTACATGTGTATTACTTAAATGTATAATATGTTATTTGTACATGGGTTTTGACTGAAGTTTTTTGACATTTCCCTAACTTTTACTTTTAATTTAAGGATTCATATATATCATAGTTTTTCATAAAAGACAACATTTTGACAAACAATGAGTGCCCAGACATGACTATAACGTGATTAAATATTACCTTTATTCTATAAAATCTATAGCACAAAGCAATCCACCATTCTTCTGCCAGACTGAACAGTGACCAATGCTAGGAATACAATATCATTGTTCCTTAGTACTTTGTGCTTCTCTTTTGTGAATAATATCCAGTTATTTTTTACCAGCCTTTGCCTTAAGTTCCCTGACCAAGCTAATGAGAGACACTTCCTGGAAGTATTTGGGAGGATCATTAATTGTTTCTCCAAAGTACACAAATCTCCTTACTGAGCAAAATTAGCATGGAAATAACTTAGTATTCTGCCCTCTAAGATTTCCAATACTACAGTCTTTAGTTGAGCTTAGAACTGAAAAATAAAGAAGTTAGAAGAAGGGAAACAAACAAACAAAAAAGGATTCTGAGATTGTTCATCCATACAGCATTAGTTTCATTAGCTGAATTTGTAGACTTAGCTATGCATTATGGTCTGTGAATAAGACGTATTACAACATATGAGAGAATTCTGTCCCCACACCTCAAAAAAACCCCCAATGACATTTGATACAAAAAACTGTTCAAATCACACCTGTGACAAAAACATGTAACTCAATGTAAGATATAACCTCTATTCTAAACACGCAGGGTCCTTTTCTTCACTGCTGGTTTGTGCCAAAAACTCACCGCAGTGAATGAGTTCAGTTTATCTGAACAATTTAGACAACAAAGGACAAGATTTCACCTGAAAGGGATTCATTAGCCCCCAAATCTCATTTCTGTCTGAAAATGTTGTATTTACTATCACTATAAATATTTGAGACTATTGTTACTGAAAGAAGATTACCAAAAGTTCTTTTCTCTTTTTCTTTAACATTTTACAATACTTTTTGCCTTTTCAGGATATTGCAGTCACTTAACTACTTACTTCATTCTAAGTACATACGTAGTCCAGCTGAATTCAATCTTAGTTTCTACCTTGCTGGAAAAAAAATCCTTGTATATTATCACCCAGGGAAAAGAAAACAGTATAAAGATATATTTTAAAATATATATTTTTTAAAAATCAGGTTCTGGGACTTAAAGAATTCACTTTCAGAAAATGGAATGATTTGAAATTACTTTGCTAAAGAAATATCCAATTTTAAGAATGTTCCTTTAAAAAAAGTCTGACAAGGTGTGTGGAATATTCAGCATAAGATATCCTAAAAGACAACATGTATATTTATTTGAACCGATGTGGAACAATATAAATAGAGCACGCAAATAATTACAACACTGTTTGGAAGCTATTTAAGTAATTGAATCACAACATGCAGTGAAATGAGCAAAAGATAACTAATTCAGTTCCTATAAAAAAATAGAAATGTGTACTTAATTCCCTATATTAGCAGCTAAATCCTTAAAATGACTGTTAGTGAAAACCTTTCCCTTGATCTTAACATAAGAAAATTTCTCAGAAAATAATTCTCATTTGAACTTCTCATGCTTGGTTTGACTCTACAGGACAGTTGTTTTTGGTGGTGGGCCCTTTTGAAAACTTAAGAAAAACCTCTTTGGCCATTTTAAATCGAGAACATACAAAACTGAGTATTTAGTATTGAGTTTGGGGGATTTTGGCTTTTAAATCTGAAATCACTTATTGGCTTTACAAGTTAACAGTTCTTATTTGAGGAGTCAGTTCTGAGAGAGAAATATGGGTATGTCTATATGTTGCAACACAACTACTTGTAGAAATATATGCATGCTAACTAACTCTGACAGCTTGGTTTTGTCAGTCCAGGGGAAGCGCTGTACTGGTACAGCCATAGTAGTTTTGGGACCCAGGCTATTGTCTCTGCATGGCATGCATTGTATTGTATAGACATTCAGAACTATTCTGGGGATCTCTGCACACTGCTAGAAAGAGTTGTAGTTAGGTGGGACGTCTTAAGAAATGAACACTTCCTATTGAAACATCGCTTCTGCTTTGACAACACAGTGCCCACTTCTGACTGTCTTGGGGACTGTTGCTGGAACACAACAGTAGAAGTCCTATCTCAATGAAGTACTAATATCAAAGTCTTTGAGACCGTTAAATGGGTTGTGCACAGTTATTTTTTCTTTAAGTAAAAGAAATAAGGAAGATGGCCATACATTTCATTTTTGCTGGGCCAGTCCCATTTTAAACCCCTCTGAGAACTGGACAAAGCGGCACTCTCCAGCTTGGGGAAGTGGAAGGGGTTGCTCGCCTCCTGCAGTGCTGTGCACCTGCACTCAGCTGAGACTGAAGCTTGGAGACAGCTGAACATGCCAGAGTAGTTGGTGGTATGAACAGTGTCATATTTTGAGACTCGGAAACAGGGTCACCTTGGAATAAGTAAGCCCCCATGTCCAAGCCACTCAAGCAGTCTTTGCTGCCCAAATGCAGAGGGGGCTGACCCAATGATCTGTAAGGTCCATTCCCACCCCTAAAAACTATGAAACTTCTGAAATTCTTTTCAGTGTATTTAAAATCAATATCCAGGAAAATCCTTTTGAAAAACCACAAACAATTTCAATAGTGGACTGGGTAAATACAAAATGAACTGACACCAACATCATGAGGAAAATCTCACCAGGTTCTACAAATCCAGCAAGGCAGGTAAACATGCCTGGAGGAAACGTACTCTTTCTACCCAAGAGGCATTGGTTCTCATCTGGATGAATGACTTGCATTATCACTACAGGATCTGGAAAGCACATGAAAGAAATCTGTTCAAATTTAGCATTTCTTGGCTCAAAATACAGAAACAAATTCAGTCGTGGATAATCCCTATTTAATATTAATGAATGTAAATACAGATACAATATCTTTAACAGCTTAAACTCTTAATTTGGTAAATGCTTGGGGAAAGCAGTGGTTTTAAACAAGGTACTGTTTAGTTTGACTTTGTAATATATATGTCTAGCAGGGGTACCCTACCAGCCACGCCTTGAAATTTAGGATATAAATGACTTATCACTTAACCATGCAACCCATTAACACAGGGCTGTCCAGCTGGCAACCTGCAAGCCATCTGTGGCCTGTAAGGAGTTAAGTTGTGGCCTTGGGCTCCCAGTGAGCCACCACTCCCCCATTTCTGTGGCTGCAACAGCAGATGGAGTCTCTGGAGTGCAGTGGTGGTTGGGGTACCCATATGGACATTCAGTGCAGTGAGGATCCATTTGTGTAGCTCCTGAGTATGCAGCCCTCCACTGGGGTGGCCCACAGAGCATTTGGCTCCCAGCTGCTGAGAAATTGGACAGCGCTGTGTTAAAGGATTCTCAGTTTTAACCTAATTATACGTCCAACACAAAACAACAGTTTTTTCAGCAAAGACAAATTACCACGATCTCTTCTTTGCTCACAGATAGGAAACAACTATGTATTATTATGATTGCAATGCAGTAATGTCTTTTAATTCTTACTTTGGTCAAATTTCTCTTTCTAGCTGTCACTCTCTTTCCTTGGCATATTCTGTGTTTTCTCTTTCCTTTTTTTGTTTCTTTTCTTCCTCTCCTTCTCACGTCTTTCTTTCTTGTGTAACTACTTCTATTTTTGTGTTTTCTCCCCATTTTTTCCTATTATTTCTACATTGGTCCTTCCCCTCTTTCTATATCATGCCCCTACCATTTCTTTCCCATCTTGGACTCCTTGTTATAACCATGTTAATATGTATATTTTAGATTTGCTTTCTGTTCTTTCTCTCCATCCTATTCTACATTCTACTTGCTTTTAGTTTCTTGCCTTTTGCCCCTCTTGTATTTCTCCTTCTGTCAGAATGACTGATTTAGTAATGCCAGTAGGCAAATACTTTTCAAAGGCTGGTACCCTACTCAGAATGTACCTGTGGGGACACAGTAGAAACTGTAAGTCCTGCTGGCTGTCATCTTTTTAATAAAAAGAACCAAAAACCAACTGATGGTTCAGCAGTCTCTCATATAATCCTATTTATTGTCTTAGTTTATTAAGCTAATGACTGTGAAGAAAAAACTGTTAATGGGTTTATTAAGTTTCACTGTAGTCCATAAAGCACTAGAGAATGGTGGACTGAATAGGGTTAATAAAATGGCAGAACAACAGAGGCAAGGAAAGAGAAATGTCAAAGAAAAGACACAAAATGATTCAGACGGAAAGATGACAAGGTGATGGGACAGAGGAAAAGGAAGTCAAAGAAAGATGATGCAGGGCAAAAAAAGATAGGGAGATCACAGCAGAGGGAAAAAAACTCAAGCTTTTAAAAGAATAACAAGGATGGTATAGTAATTAAAACACTAATTTATGGTTTGACATGAGGGTTCAGGTCCCTTGCCTGTCCCAGATTTCCAGGCACAGTCATCAGGCACAGACATACGAGTGACTTAAGTGCCAAAGTCTGACAGTGTGATCCACAAATCTCCACCCAATCTCTTTGGCACCTGAAAGTTTGTAGGTGTCTTACGTTTTGGCCAGCAAAGTTCCCTGGGGGACTCATTCTGGTACTGTGTGTGTCCAGAACTAATACCATTCTGAGAGGACTGTGCAGCTTGCCTATTTAGGATCCAGAGAACTCATTTGGGGTCCACCTACTGGACTTACTGTGAAATTTTAACCAGCAGGCATTCTCATTGCTGAGAGAAATAAATTTAGTACAAAGAGAGAAGCTATGGCCACTTTCACTTGTAGCAGTGGTGGTGTTGTTTCTCTGTGCTGCAACTGTTATCTCTTACCCTAAATCAGCGGTGGCCTACTTTTCTGGCAGGCCGGGCACAAGTTAAGCCCTGCCCTCCCTCTCCCACCTTCTTTATCAGGTCTTGCATTCAAATGCTTATCTGACTCTATCCCAACTATATAGTCCGTCCAATAAAATACATCTCCCTAAGAAATCCTTGCCTCTTGCAAAATTTATGAACCATCATGGCTTCATCACTGATACACTATCAATTTTGATAGCTAACATACATTCTTGCAACATCACTTTCTATTGAGGTCATTACATTACCACACATCAGACTGAAGTTGTGTTGTATTATTTTGTCATACAACACAGACAAAAAGCAGCTTGGACTACTTAACTCTGAATAAAGCTGGCAGACATGCACTGTCTGGGAGATAATTAAAAGAGATGGGAAGGGTCTGAATGAGGTAACAGGAAGAATTAAAAAGGAGCAAGGCACAGCAAAGACAATGAGTTAAATAGTGATTATGGACCAATTTTCCTCAGCCATCTGTTTATATTTAAGCTTACCAACTCTTGGATATGATGTATTGTGAACACCTTGCAGACTGGGACAACCATTTTTTAAGCAGGTCTTCTTGTAACCTCCTTCTTCAGTCTTGGTTGTACTACCACATGTTGGGCAGAACTGATACCGGCTGTGCCATGCGAGAATGGATCTAGCCTGGGCTACTACTCCTTTAAAAGAAAAAAACCCAAAAGTCATTTAAAATCAAATAACATTTTTCAGCTTTTATAATATCACAAGAGAAGGCTGAGAGGGGACCTGGTGGCTGTCTATAAACTTACCAGGGGGGACCAGCAGGGAATGGGAGAGACCCTGTTCACCCGAGCACCTCCTGGAGTAACAAGGAATAATGGCCATAAGTTGTTTGAGTAGGATTGGGCTGGACATTAGAAGGCACTATTTCACAGTCAGGGCCGCTAGGATCTGGAACCAAATTCCAAGGGAAGTGGTGCTGGCTCCTACCTTGGGGGTCTTTAAGAGGAGGCTTGATAACTACCTAGCTGGGGTCATATGAGCCCAGTATTCTCTCCTGCCCAGGGCAGGGGGTCAGACTTGAAGATCTACTTAGGTCCCTTCCAACCCTACATCTATGAATCTATGAAAATGTTTGGTAAAGCAAGGAAATCATAATCATCAATTAATCATGAAAATCGAACTAAGACCAAGCTTTAAACTGTCACTTCAATAGACTTCATCTTTTCCATTGTACCTATGTTAAACAAAGGCCTGATTCATCTGGATCTGCCACATATACTAATGAAGGGTAAATGCAAAATCAGTCAGGTTGTGTAGGCAACCAAGAAAAATCACTTATAATTGTAGTTGATCTGTAGAATGCTGTATTTTAAAAAGTTTTACATTGATTAACATAGGAAAACTGAGATTTAATTTTTACTCAGGAGCACTTTAGGAAAATTCTAAACAAAGGAGGAATCAGCACAAAGCCTTTACCTCATGACTAAGATAATACTAGTGCTAACTTGTGTACATATTCTTGTGCATTATTTCACAATACCCACTATTTCTTGACCTTAAGCCCTTTCTAGCATGCCTTGTCTCCTTTCTGTCTCTAGAGCACCCTGAATACTGGGCCTCAACTCTCTGGGTGTTATTCTAATGTGTACCAGTTACTGTGCTAGTATGCACACCAGAAGTACTTTTTTCTTTCTTCTCATGTAAGTATTCAAAAACTGTTCATTAGGATCCTCTTTTCAGTACTTGTCATCTATATATGGGAATTTTTTTTACTTGATTTTGATGTAGTAGTATCTGTGCATTTACACATGGATGGTTTACATACAAAACCCACGAGGTTATTAAATCTTATCACCATATTTTGCTGATGCTAGTATCTTTCAATTGTGTATAGGCCAAATACTATTATTGTGTATAGGCCAAATACTATTATTATATACTTACTATTTTATCTATGGTGATGGGCAATCAATTTGGCATCAGGAATTTTACAGATTGGCAAGGACTTGGGTAGTTTATTCTTTCCTCTACCACATGGAGAACTGTTCTGGATCATTTAACACATTCCCTACCTTTACAGTAGCAAGGAACATGTGATATACTTGTTCCCCCCACATTCACTTGTGGAATACTGATATTTAGTTTTTTCTTAGGAAGCTTTGAGGTATGGTGGGTGGGAGGGTTCAGAATGGATGACCTTGTGGACTGCTTGAGCAAATGACTTCTTAAATCTGCTGGTCCAGAAAGCCTGTTTCTGTCATTTTAAATTTGATCTTTCTATAACAATTTGCACCATTCAAAAGATCTCAAAGTTATGTTACAAGGAGTTAAAGTTCAACTCTCCTTTGTGGATGATCTGAATATAGTCAGTTTATATAAAGGTATCAGTGAGAGGTGCAGATTGGCGATAGACTTGCTGAAGGTCAGATATATACTCAGTAAAGAGGCCAAGGTATCTTGAATGCTATTCACCTATTCCTTCTTTCTGATTCAAGAGTTGCTAAATTTGCATTTTAGGCACCTTACCAGCTTCTTTTTCAGGCAACTGCAGGAGTGCAGGCATTGGAGGATGAAGAAAATAACTATCTTGATGCTTCTGTTTAAACTGCTCAGTGGAGATAGAATCTATGCTAACAGCAAACCAAGCAACTAATCCATCCTCTTCAACTTCTTTTAAAACTCCTCCATTGTGAGTAGCTAACAAGTCTTTATTTCGTTGAAGTTCTACTCCAAGAAAAATCAAGGTGACTTTTTCTGACATATATTCCTTGACATCCTTGTGGCATAGCTTACAAAGCCTGACTTCTGGCTGCTGGGTACTGTCTTCTTCTCCTGTTAAAGTAACCAGTGGGCTTAACTTTGAAAAAAGGATGTAAATTGTAGTTGGATGGCTCTGTTTTTTGCTTAGCCATTTATAATCTGTTCTTTTATCACTTCTTCTGTCCAAAAGTGTCCTGCTGAAATAATTTTCACATTCCCTCACTTCATTTGGCAAGGAAATAAGTGTCTTCCCACCCTTAATATTAGCCAGTAAATTCGCGACATGCTTATACCCCCAAAATTTAGCAATGTCCAGTGCAGTCTGCCTTGATTTATTGGCAATGGATTTGTCACACCTGTTAAAAACAGAAAAGATAAACCATGGTTAGTGGAGTAAGTGTGGTCTGTGAGGGTCTTTCTGCTGTATATTCTTACTTGTGAGGATGCATATCTGAGGCCATTAAGCTTTGGAATTTTGAAATAGTCCTTATTAAGGCCACACAACCTATATAGGGTACTGAACTTTCAAAGGTGTAATGATAAAAAAAGTTCATAGAGTCTCAACAGCCCAGCAGAGTAGATCACTGAGCAAACTGCCTAATGCCAATTTTGACGCAGTACAACAAAAGGAGAATAAAAGGAGACTTGGATCAAAGCAACAATTGCTTCAGTTACAGAGAGAACAGTGATTTTCAACCAGGGGCGGATCCAGGATTTCCCAAAGTGAGATGCAGAAGCCACAACCCCCCTCTTCCTTGCTTTCTCTGCCCCATCAGTCCAGGCAGACCAGGCTGCAGGAGCTACTGAGGAGTTTCTAAAGTCCTAAGGCAGGTGAAAATACCCTCTTCCTTTCCCTTTCTGTTCAGAGGCAGTCCACCCCTCCTCTTCTTCCCTCCCTGCCCATTCTCCTGCCTGCTCCAGCTGCATTCTCCACAGTTGGGGGTAGGGAAGTTCCAGAGCCAACCAGGATGAGCAGGGGCTGGGGTCAGCTGGAGAGGGCACAATAGCAACTGGGTGAGTGGAAAGTTCCCCCCACACTGCCTGGTCACAGTGCAGGGGGAACCCCTCTCCATCCTTGCTGCTGTTGTCCCCACTTCCCAGTAAGGCTCTGGTTCTTCTCTGCCTTCAGAACAGTGGGGAAAGGCAGGCAGGGAGGGAGTATTTTCACCTGTTTTAGGAAATTTAAAAAGTCCCTGGAGGCTTCTGCAGTGCAGTCCAATCCAAAAGGGAGATGCAGCCACGCCACTGCACCCCCTCTGGATCTGCCCCTGATTTCAAGCATCCATGAAAGGAAGTAAGCAGATAGACAGATATAATAATTGTATCAGTACTGAACATGCTAGTATTAACTATTAACATGCAATGATTATGCCTATGTGTCTTCTAGAGCAATACTGTTCCAAAAGTGTTGCAACTTTAACACGGTTTTATTTAGTAGGCATAACAGTAGATGCAACTCCTCCCCTCCTTTTAAAGTGTTTAAAAGTCAAGTCTGTCCATAGCCTAATGGCCTATGTGGTCTCTTTTTATCCTTGTCTCTAAATGTCTGGTGTCACAAGAAGGTGCTCTTGCTGCTCTAGAAAGAGATTAGCAAAATATCCCTATAAAATACTTGATCCTTGAAGATAAGGGAGAGGGTGTAAGGTTGGCTCCTTACAATGTAGAAATGCAGTCTCTATGAATGTTCCAGTAAGTTTCTTTGACTTTGTGGAAAGCCAAATTCCCAGGGGTGGAAAGAAAAACAAATTAAGATAAAATGCTCACCTCAGAAAAACAAAAATAAAAGGGCCAGGAAAATCCTCACAGATCTTACGTCCAAAAACAACCATTAGGACCTTATTGTCTGATACACAGGTAACTACATATTTCATGCAGATATGCCTGCATTGAGGTTGACTGCTTGTGCTCGAACTGGAACTTATGTTTTAGAAAGACATCCAGATGAAGACTTCAAATAACAGAAATTTACCATATCCTTTAGCCATCTGTCTCAGTGATTAATCATCTTTATTGTTTAAAAACCTGCTCATTTCCAGTATGAATTATTCTTGTTCCCAGCCGCTGCAGCTAAAGTGTCCTATCTACTGCCTCTGCAGGCTCTTGCAGACTGTGATTGAGTCACCTCTTTTGTTCTCTTCAATAAGTTAAGCAAACTGAACTCCTTTGAATTCCTTACAGCAAGCTGCTTTTTTTCATATCTCAAATAATTCTCTGCACCTTTTACCAAAGTCCATCTAATTTTTCAATGCCCTTTTCCAAAGTATGAATGCAAAACTGGCTACAGTATTCTAGAAGTGGTCTCACTAGCACTGTACACAGATGCCATATTATCTCCATACTCCTTGATAATATCCCTGCTTATACATCTGGGGTCATATTAACCCATAGCATTACACTCGCAGTTCCTGTTCAGCAGTTGGTTACCTACCATAGCCACCCACAATCTTTGAAAGCCACTGTTTTCTTGGATACAGCTTCTCTTCCTGTATGACCTGCATTCTCTTAATAGAAATGAAAACTTACATCCAGATATTTTAGTATTAGTGTCAGCATTCAGTGGTAGAGTTTCTCTCTCCCTTGAAACTGGCAGAGCCCTCATTATTGAAAACAAAACAAATCTGACTCCAAGAACTCCTTCTGCCTCAAGGACTCCACAATAAAACAGGCCACAGTAACTGTAATTCATGGTGGGCCTACCCATGAATGTGTAGTTGGGTAAAAAAGGGTGTGGACAAAACAGCCCACAGACAAACTACAAACTGCAAATTACAGTTGCCTTTTAGATTAATCTTAATCATGCCACTGACAACACCAACTTTAGCCAGGTCCAGGATTAGGGGTCCAAAAAATAATTTAAAGCCAATTTTGCTCCCCATTTGTCTTGCGCCAATCGCAGCTCAACTGGACCCCATATCTGACTCAGGCCTTAGTTTAGAAGACTTACCCTTTCAGTCAGTCTCATCTAGCCTTCTGATGACTCACAAGAGTCTCCCTAGAGCTTTGAGGTGTTTCTTATATTGTTTTCATTGCTTGCAATGACATTTGCAGAAATATCTAGCAGTGACTGACTTCAAAGCAGGCTACTTTAACATGCTAGTCTCTCTTTGGCCCTGAGTGATGCACTGATATAAGGTTTGAAAATGGTAAGTGGTCTTCCTTCTTTTTTAGATGTTATACCTTCAAAAGAAACAAGTGCACTGGTGCATGAGAGAAAGGAGTTGAAACAACTGAAGCACAAGTGCCAAGATAAGTGCCAGGGCACTAAACAGAAAAATTCAGCACTGATTAGGGTTTTATTTGATAAAAGTGTAGTGTGGTCGTGCACAAACTCATTTGACAATACTTGTGCTAAACCATTAAGAAGTCAAAGAAAATCCCTCACTGGTACTGGGGTACTTTTTTTACAAATGTGCCAGGAAAAATACGAAAGCACATTTATTTGCATCACAACATAGAAGCAGATACAAAATTACAGACCTAAATATCCACTGAAAAAACAAACTGGAACATTCAGATTTATTAATTTTAAAATGAGTTGTGTTCTGCTCTTTCATCACTACCATCAAGCGTAAAAATAACTTTTAATAGTCTGGGGAGTTTTACCAGTCTTGGGCTGAGAAAAGTGAAAACAAGGCAGAGATGGTAACTTTTACTGAAAGAATTTATTTATATCTTTTAAACCAGGAGTGTCAGATGAGGGTCAAATGAGTGGTGCATGACTGATCCAAAGCAGGATGAGTGGTGTGGGAGCAGCCCCACAGGCCAGAATATGACTACGGACTAGGGGTATGCAAAATGGGCCATATTTGATTCAGATTTGGATTTGGCCCAAATTGGGAACAGTGATTTGATTTGTTGATTCGGATCACTGTCCCAATTCGAATCGGCCAAATCAGAATCTGAAGATTTGATGCTGATTCAAGGAATCAGCGATTTGGCCACAGGCACAGGTTTAAATGTTTTTTCTATGTACCTCGAGGTACCAGGTGCGGCTTGTGAACGCTGTGATGGTGGGATGAATGGGGCGTCCCACAGGAGCACGGAGGCCCCCCTGCCCCGTGTGCTTGGCGGCAAATCCGGAAGCGGACTGCAAGTACTTCCGGTTCACTTCCAGGTCCAATGCTGAAGGCCCCCCTGGCTTGGCGATCAGCCTGGGGGAGACCCCATGTGCCTCCCCAGACCCAGGAGGTACCAGCTGCTAAGCAGGGGGGTGGTGCGAGGGAGGCCCCC